GTTCGTTCGTTCTCGACGAATGTTGGAGGCGGAATAGTATTTTTACTTCGACTTGATAATTGTGCATCCAGAGGTTGATCATTTAATGAATTTTCTATCGAGGAGTTAATTACATTCAGATTCGAATCAGCTTCAGGAGCCACATCTTCATCTTTATTGGAATTCCTATCTTCGACCTATTCACATTAATTAGTTCATAAATGCATGTAAAAATTTTCTATTAAAAATAAAATTTGATATGCTTTTACCTTCGCCAATTTCTCCTTCATTGAATCAATCATATCGTCTGTGACATAACCACTGACGATGGAATATTTTCCGACAATATATTGAACGGAAGATAAAAATTCATTCATGGAAATTCGCCATTCTATTAAACGACGACCAATGACAAACGTTTAAAAAAAAAGCATAGAATGTCGTTATTCTACATGAAGAACACAAAATCTCAAATTTCTTGGGTACCATCTTCAATGTTCGTCAAAGACCTTATCCTTTCTATGAACAACTCGACTATAGTCCAGATCTCATTTGGTGAAGTCCTGTGGGAATAAAAAAAAATAACTAACATGGATTAAAAATAAATAAAATAAAAGTTGTCAACAATAGTTATACATACTCTCCCATATCCTTGCAGATAATTCTTAACAAGTTTTTAAGGGTTTCAACCACTCGAATATATAGTTCCTCATCATGCTCAACTTGCCGCACGAGGCCAACAAGAATAGAAAACGGATCACTAAAGTGAATAATAGAAGTATCACTAAGGGTTAATAACAAAGAAACCACTAGGCACGTTTTTTTACATACTTTGCGTCTCGTACAAAATCGTGCACTTTGTCATATAACTCTTCTAAATCTTCTTGATTTTCGTCTTCATACACATTGACCTGAGTCAATAATGATTCTGGAGGATCTGAATTTTTAACGGACTGTATTATCAAAGGTTATATTTTATAAGGATTAATGTACGTTGCATAAAAGAAAAAGTTGCCACATTACGCACCAAGAAAAGTTCTGTTAAACCTCGCCTTTCAAACTCCTTGCGAAGCATCATGCGCTCCTCGACATCTTCCGGTGATGTCACTATGGCGTTCACCAGACTCAAACATGCAGACCTGTACTCCATTGAAACACTGTCCTCGTTTTCACTGAATTTCAAGGTGTCCATCAAATATTGAAACCTAAATTTTTCTTCATGAACCTGACGAAAGTCTGAAAAGGCGTTTAAAACCAATCTATGCCCTTCAAGTGAAAGAACGCATAACGCTGCTAAGACATCAGCTACTTGTGAACGAAGTTTGTTGTTTGGAGTATGCATGCAAAAAACTATGCAATTGATTAGCGAAGGTGATTTTAAAACCTGGCTGTACCCAAGCTAATTAATTAAATTAAATAAATAAATAAATAATTGATATTTGCAAATGACAATAATGTATTCAACGGGAAGAGAACTCACTTCAGTATTTAAGAGAACTCTCAGGCAACGCACACACTCAGATTGTATTCGACCATCATGATCTGTGTTTCGTGTCATACTGTAAAGAAAAAAAAAGAGTGATGAGTTCGATAAGAAAACAGATCTCAAAATTAACAACCAAGAAACGAACTTTTTTTTCACTCCTACTGTATATCTCTCAAGGACGAACTCAAGCGCTTCCAGTCCTTTGCAGTCAATAAAACCTTTGATCCAGGAGAGTTTCGCGGTAGACAGAGTTACCCGTAAAGATTGCAACCGTTCAGACAATGATTTCGCACCAATATTTCTTCAATAGAATTAAAATTTATGTTTCTTTAGGTAATTGACACATTCAAAGTATTACAAGAAAATTGTGTTATAAATGATAATACCGTTGCGCCAATTTCTCAACATAAAACTCTGGAGTATCTTGCAGTTTCGCGGAACTAGTTGAAAATCCAAACGCCGGTATCCAAGAGCTGAAAAATCCCCCAGCGTTGGATGAATTTGGCCTCTCCTCTAACTGAGACATTAAAACAGTTTCCGAATTTAATATGGCAGATATTAAAGGTTGTTCTACTCTTTGTTCCACATCGTTTTCAATAACATTATCAATAGATGATTCTGAAACCCTGGTAGATATATCTCTTGAGGGTAATGAGTCTTCGTGGTTTGTGTCTCCGTTATATTCCGCTGTGTCCTTTTGTCCAAAATCTTGCTGCGACTTTTCTTCCTCCCCATTTGCCATCTTATCCTGCTGTTGTGATTGTCTAGAAGCATGAGCTTGCTTATTTTGAATGATTAATGTCCTTTTATGATCTTCAGACATCTCCAGCATTTTATTACGGTGGTGCCCATGTATATTCATCTCATCCTAGAACGTATTAAAATTAGGAAAGCTTCGAGATACACGAAGAAAAAAAATAATAGTGATCATACCAATAGATTTTCGAAAGCCTTATCTAACTCTTCATTCTCAATAAATAAAGAAAAATCGGGCCCCGTTGATAATCGTATCGACTCCAATCCAACTTTTAAGGTATTGTCTAACACTCTGGTTGTACGCTTTTGTGTCTTAGTCTGTTGATCAATTCCGGCGCCGGTTATCCATGTGCTTATTATGGTTGGATCGAACATCGTACTAAGACGTGATGGCGATAGAATAGATACGCGGCTTTTAGGTGTAGCTCCTGTTTTGGCATCATTACTACTTATATTTTCTGTTGATGGTTTTTCTGAAGCATCATCATCTGTCGGAGCTTGTGGTTGTGTTTCATCCTCATTCTCGATAGGTAAAGAATGTTCCATTTAGAAATAAAGTATTAATTACTAAATATACTTGATAACCCTTATTAGAGACGTTATGATGTTAATTATTAAAATCAAAAAGATTGAGGAAATATCTTTTTGGTTAAATCAACTATCTACCTTTTACTAGTTTCGATCTGAAATCACGGATGCCTCTCAAAACATAAGACTTCGAAAACTCTCGCAGTATTTCAAGTATCTTGTTTGATCCCGATTCCAACGCTGTGAGGCGTGATCCGCGTCTATAGATCAAGAAATCGCTTTGAAATCTTTATTTTTTTTTTTTTTACCAATGACCAAAGATCACTGTGTACGTTCACGGATATTCTAATAAAAAGATATTAGATTAGATCGCAAAAGAATTGAGGGTAACTTAAAAAAACCCCCGTTGCAATCGCGACTCATTCTTATATCGATTAAACTGAATCACATGGAAAGGAGTTCTATGTGATTATATCTCACGTGATTAAATAAATTAAACATTAACCCCTTTTTTTCCGTAAGCAGTATGCACATCTCATTCTTTATACGTAAAAAAAAAAAGTTTATTAATCAGTTCGATCAACTGATTTACTAGAGTATCTAAATAACAATTCTGTTAATAATATCAATAAAAAACTATTAACAAAAATTATTATATATATAAGGTAAAGAAGAGTATTATATGATTGGAATCATAATAATAAGATTATTATTATTATTATTTAATTTATTGATTAATTTAAAATTTTTAAATTTCTAAATATATTATTACTTATTTATTGAAATGCTATAAATAGCTATACACAAACTAATGAAGTAATAAATCACTTCCAAAGTTATACTTAAAGTTTTAAAAATAAAATATAAAATAGAGATACATAAATTAAATAGAAATTTAATTTTAATAACACATATTAAATATATATTATACAAATGTTTAATAAAGTATATACCTAAAAACTTTTTTCACTAAGCTTTTTTTTCTTAAAAAAAAATTTTTTCGATAATTTTTGAAAAAAAAACAAATTAATTTAAATTCAATAATATATAAAAGATAAAAACAACTATAATCTTTTATAAAAAATATATATAAGATCCAATATACAAAATTACTAACAAAAAAATATATAATACAAAAAAAAATTTTTTTAAATTCAAAATTTTAAAAAAAAAAAGATAATAAGAAAATGAAGAGTTACAACAAAGGTTTCTAAATTGAGACATATAAAATTAATTTAATATATATAGTACCTTACTAATACAAAATAAAAAATTGATAGTCAAAATGTAATCTGTTGTCAATAAAAACTCACATACTAGCCTAGGATTTTCCATGAAAAGCAAATGATAGGTAAAGAATGTTCCATTTAGAAATAAAGTATTAATTACTAAATATACTTGAT